AGAAGTAGGCAGGTCTCTTGAGTTTGATGCCATCCTGAACTAGAGTTCCAGGTCAGCCAGTATGGATACACAGAGAAACTCTGTGTGTGTGGGGGGGGGGGGGGGTAATAATGATAATATTTAAAGCATAAGTGATACCTAGGAAATCTCATAATGGAGCCAGTGTACAGGCTGACATAAGATTTTACCACTTACAACTGTTTGAAATAGGGCTCTAAAACCCCACAGACCGTACATGCTTAGACTGTGGTTTTGTGGTGGTGGGTTTGTTTTGTTTGGCTTTGGTTTTGTTAGTTTTGGTTTTCGGAGACCACATTTCTTTTTTTTTCTTTTTCTTTTTTTTTTTTTTTTTTTGGTTTTTCGAGACAGGGTTTCTCTGTGGCTTTGGAGCCTGTCCTGGAACTAGCTCTGTAGACCAGGCTGGTCTCGAACTCACAAAGATCCACCTGCTTCTGCCTCCCGAGTGCTGGGATTAAAGGCGTGCGCCACCATCGCCCGGCTGAGACCACATTTCTTTGTGTAAGAACTTTGGCTGTCTTGGAACCCACTTTGTAGATTGGGTTAGCCTCAAACTCACCAAGATCCACCTGTCTCTGCCTCCCAAGTGTTAGGTTTAAAGGTGTGCGCCACCACTGCCCTGCTTAGACTGTGACTTGATTGGATGACCCAGGTGTAGTAGCATACATCTTCAGGCTCAGCCCAGCACTTGAGCAGAGGCCAGCATGGTCTACTTAGGGAGATCCAGGGCTACATAGTTAAGACCCTGTTTCTTTTTTTATTTATTTATTTATTTATTTATTTATTTATTTATTTTGGTTTTTCGAGACAGTTTCTCTGTGGTTTTGGAGCCTGTCCTGGAACTAGCTCTTGTAGACCAGGCTGGTCTCGAACTCACAGAGATCCGCCTGCCTCTGCCTCTGCCTCCCAAGTGCTGGAAATAAGACAGATGAAATCCTTGTAAGGTTCATCTTTGCATTTAAGTTTGAAAAGTTCTTCAAGAGATGTTAGAAATGTTTTCTTTCTCTCCTATGTTCCATAGCTACGAAGAAATGGGTTTGGAAAAAACGGCTTGTTGCTGAGCCGCAGTTCCAGCCTGTTCTCCCCGTGGAGAAGCACTCTGAATGCAGAGGATGAGGATTCCGGCACAGAAACAAGCAGCAGTGAGACGTCAGATGATGATGCCTGGAAGTAGAAATATAAGTGCTCACCGTTGACCTGCCCCACTGAGCTCAGCTTTGTGTTTAGAGAATATAAAAAGTGTTCTTTTCCTTTTCTTACGTTGTTGAATACTTCATGCACAAGGGAAATAATCATATCCCAAAGAGAGAACAATTGTCTTGCTTAACTTTTGTTGTTATTCTTTGTTATCTGCTTAATAGAGAGACATCTGTGTGGTGGAACTTTTTAAGCACACACACAGTACCTGTGGGGCCGTGCACAAGTGGGAGCTGGCAGTGCAGAGATGCAGGGAGATGCTGCTGACCACAGCGCCCACTACCAGCCCTTGGGCACTCACCCCTGTGCTCAAGCAATCATTGTCAATGACAAAGTGACTATTGAAGTTATAATTGTATTAAATTAATGCTAATAATTTGGATATTTTATTTTTGGCTGCTCGGGCAACTTAGCCCTTAACCAGGCATATGTGGTTGTTTTTGTTTTATTTTTTTGTTGTTGTTTTTTTTTCTTTTTGGGTACAGCTGTAAAATATTTGGATATAGGAAATGTTATTCTTGCAGCCTTGATATTCAGGGTGGATTGTAAAATATGAATTTTTGTGAGATTTCAAAGATTAAGATTATTTTGATAACATTATTTACAGATTTAAAAGATGTGGTTGTCACAAGTCTGTTGAGGGGAACTACTGCATAAAATAACTAACGTGGAATAAATATTTTGCATCAGTTTGGATTGTCCTGTGTAAGAAATATATTTTTTTTTTTTAAATTAGAGAGTGGATTCTTTCTTTAGGGGAAATATTTTTAGAAGTCTGGGAGAAAACTGAATTCAGCCCCACCTAAATTCCTGTTCCTTTTAGCAAAAACTTCGATGCAGAAGAACCTGTGCAATAAATTATTCATAATAAACTACATTTTCTTTCCTGAAAGAATGTTTTAGTGCCAAGGATTCACCAGTGTGCATGGGTTTGGGTGCTTTCTGCGTGTTTTAAAGGAGTTCTGACTCGGTTTCCTACTTCCTAAGAACTGGGAGCCAGGTGGTGGTGGTGCTCATCTTTAATTCCAGCATTTGGGAGGCAGAGGCAAGAGTTTCTCTGTGACAAGAGTTCCAGGACAGTTAAGGCTACACAGAGAAACTCTGTCTCAATAAAAAAAAAAAAGAAAGAAAAAAAGAAAGAAAAAAACTGGGTGCATGGGGCATGATTGAGCCATGTCTGGCCAGTGGCCAATGAAGTTCTTTTAGAAAAGATGGAAACTTAGAACAAAGTTCTGTGTGCTAAGAGCTAGGTATCCATCAGAGCATCCTTTTGCTGTCCCTAGTAGATGCAAAGCAATATCATATTGATGAGACAGGGATGGACGATATATAAGCTGGAGTGCCATATTTAAAAGAAACGGTTGGCCAAACCAGAGGAAAGGAGAGAGGTGAACATAGCAGGACCCGGAAGGTAGACTGGCGAAGAGCATGCGGCAGCCTGTGCTGTTGTAGTGCAGTATCATTAAGGGAGCCATTTGCAAATCTTAAAGATGACCATCGAGATGGATTAAGGTACTTCTTGCCCTGTGTCTGACAACTAGCATTCAATCCCTGGGATCACGAGGTGGTAGAAGGCTAGAACTGACTCCCACAAGTTGTTCTCTGAGTTGTACATGTGCCTACAGCATGTGTTGCAGAATATTATTTTAAGATGTGTTAATTTGTTTATACTGTGGAACATTTAATGATGCAAAGATGTATTTGTGTTACACTTGTTTTATTATGTGAAGCTGTGATTCTTTGGCTGTCCAATAAAAAGCTGAACAGTCAATAGTGAGGCAGGAGAAAGGATAGTCGTGGCTGGCAGGCAGAGAGTATAAAACAGAAGGAGCAAACAGGAGGCAAGAAAACAAGAAGAGGGGGCTGGAGAGATGGCTCAGTGGTTAAGAGCACTGGCTGCTCTTCCAGAGGTCATGAGTTCAATTCCCAGCAACCACATGGTGGCTCACAGCCATCTATAATGAGATCTGGTGCCCTTTTCTGGCATGTGGGCATACATGGAGGCAGAATGTTGTATACACAATAAATAAATAAATCTTTAAAAGAAAAGAAAACAAGAAGAGGACATTGGGGTCCCGACACCCAGTTCCCAAATAAACTACACACATTGAGTCTTAGTCTTACAATAAGCCTTAGCTTGGCTTATTTTTAGCCAGCTTATCTTAAGTTATCCCATCTACCTTTTACCTTTCTCTATTTCTGTATGTATACCTTTCTTTACTTCTTTCTCTGGCTTGCTGTGAAGCTGGGCGGCTGGTCCCTGATGTCCTCCTCTCCTGGTTCTGTCTTGCTCCTCCTTCTCTCCTATTCTCTGCCCACCTGCCCTGCCTTACCCTTTCTCCTGCCTAGCTATTGGCCGTTCAACTCTTTATTAGACCATCAGGTGTTTTAGACAGGCAAAATAACACAGCTTCACAGAGTTAAACGAATGCAACACATCTTTGCATCGTTAAAACAAATTTTCCACAGTGTAAACAAATTAGCACATCTTAAAATTATACAACATCCAGGGGTTCCCTCTTCTAGCTTCCTCAGGAACTGCATGTGTTTGGTGCACAAACATACAAAATAACAATATACACAACAACAACAAAAAGCACCTTTAAATCAATGAGTTAAGAATGTTGTTGGGGGGGGCTGGAGAGATGGCTCAGTGGTTAAGAGCACCGCCTGCTCTTCCAAAGGTCCTGCGTTCAATTCCCAGCAACCACATGGTGGCTCACAACCATCTGTAATGAGATCTGTGCCCTCTTCTGGCCTGCATGCAGAGTACTGAGAATACTATATACATAATAAATAAATAAATCTTTAAAAAAAAGAAAAAGAATGTTGTTGGGGGCTGGAGAGATGGCTCAGTGGTTAAGAGCATTGCCTGCTCCTCCGAAGGTCCTGAGTTCAATTCCCAGCAACCAGTGGTGGCTCACAACCATCTGTAATGAGGTCTGGTGCCCTCTTCTGGCCTGCAGACATACAGACAGAATATTGTATACATAATAAATATTTAAAAAAAAAAAAAGAATGTTGTTGGGGAAAAAAAAACATCAAACTTGGGGTTGAGAAGTAGACAAAGATTAAGGCTTAGCCATTTACCAGTTTGTCTTCATAACAAATCTAAGTTGATCTTTTTCTCTTTTGGAATTGAGCTAAATTGAGAGTATTTTTTTACACACTTCGTAACTTGTTCCTCATTTGGGGTATTTGCGGCAAACACCTTCAGGACCCTATCTTGTTTAGAAAAGGAGTGCTTTGGTAACTGCTTACAATCCTGATAGATGTACAGATGATTTCACCAGTCTGATTCTGACTACAGCTGGAGCCCGGTAATTCTGTGTTTGCTTAGAGGCACACAGATTGCAGCTTCTGGTGTTCCCTGCAGTGGAGAAGAGCACTAACTTGAATCCTGTCCACTTCAGAGAACATCAGTGATACAACACTTGCCTGCCACAGGCTATGAAGTGATCAAAGTGATATGGCCCAGTTAGGCAAAGGTGCTGCCTTTTCTGTAAGGAAAGAAATCGAAGTTGCTGCCAAACTTGGCCAAACTCATGCAATCGATGGAACAGACTGAGACTTTCTCAATTGGGGCTCCTCCCAAAGGTGGCAAGGGACATTGTTCTGGCCTGTCTAGGCCTGTACTTGCTGCCCAGGGAGCTAGGACTCCTCCCCAAACATAAACATAAATTTGAAGATCTTGGAGATTTAAGAGTTGGCCTTTTCTCTCTGTTCTTTCCCTTTTGCCATACCCTCTAAAGGACTCTACTGGTGTCATTAACGGATCCCATCCCATGGCCGATTACTCTGGGGAGTCCGGATTTCTGCCTTGCAAGTCCTGTGACATGGTTTTCCGCTCCTGGCCTTTGTTGGCCACCCACACCCAGCGATTCTGCATTGGTCGGCTGACTCCGGAGGTGACACATGGAACACAGCCTTCAGTAGCCATGGAACAACGGGGCACCACGGTAAGGGTCGTCAATGGTTGGGGTAGGTTTTCCAGCAAGCAGGATTCTCAGGAGTCTTCTTCTCCCTGCCCCCAGATTGTGGCACAAGAGCAACAGAGCCATCCAGAGCAGGAAGAGGCCAGTAAATCTGCTCTAAAGAGGTTGACAGAGGAGGTACACACCCACCTACACCCAACATAGATACAAACTTCATACCTGTAGGTAACACTTGAGGGAGATCACCCAGTTCAGAGCTAGCGGGTCCCATTACCTGCAGGTGCAGTTGCTGAGACTGTCCCTAAAGGAAATGCGCCCCTGGGCGACTGAGGGTGCCACCTCGCAGACTGCAGGGAGCCCTGGCGAGAGGCTGCGTACATTGCAGGGAACCCGCGCTAGGCGCGTGGCAGAGACAGAAGCACAAAGCCAGGCCCTGGAGCTCCGCGGAGAGGGTGAGAGGTAGGGAGGCGTCGCCGCGGGGCCTTGCCGCTGTGCTAGACTCACCTGACTCGGCCCCTGTCTCCCTCAGAGCTAAAACGGCGCCTCCTTGGCGTAGCGGGACCCATGGGAGGACTACCCGCGCCATTCGGCCTGCAGCGCGAGCTCCGAGAACTCAAGGCAGAGGCCGGCCGGACACGGGGCGCTCTGCAAAGACTGGGGGCGCGCATATTAGCGCTACAGTCACAGCCCCGGTGAGACTCCCGCGGAACCTTGCGGAGCGCGAGTGGGGTGGGGCCTTGGACTCGGGATTGGTCGCGGGTCCGTGACATCACCTCTCTGCGTCAGCATCCAGAGGGACTCTTTTAAGGAGGGAAAGAGATGTCCGCCCGCGCTGGTCAAGCCAGGAACACTGCCTGCAGAGATCCAGTGAGGTCCCGAGCTCGGGGGGTGGGGTGTAGGGGCGGGAGGCTGTTCAGGCTGGGGAGACTGCTTTTTGCTGCCTCCTTGCTAGGGCCCTACGTGAGGCCTACGTGAGCGGTGGTGGCCGGGACCCCGGAGTTTTGGACAAAATATGGCAGCTGCAAGTGGAGGCATCAGCCCTGGAGTTGAGGCAGTGGCAGAATCGCAAGGGTGAGCAGGAGGAGGGCAAGCCTAGAGAACCTTTGCACATTGAGGTCCTAGGCTTGGGAGGAGAAAAGGGTGTGAGGGAGGGCACCACTAGCGTGGGAGCCGCCTGATAAATTCGGACTTGCACAGAAAACCTTAATGTTGGAGAACTACATAGAGTAAAGGATGACACGTCACTTTAATTCATCTCAGAAAAAGTAACTGCCATCTCTGAGGAGCTTCTAGTGGTGGAAGCCGAAAACCGGCTCTTGGAGGCAGAAATACAAGCCTTGCAGAAGAAGGGCCTGAGTCTGGCGCCCTGGGGTAAGTGAAAACCCAACTCCTTCCTTGCCCATACCAAGATACTCAACCCAGGAGAAGGGGTGAAGGGTCCATGCCTGCAGAATGAGGCCCATGTGTGTATCATCGTTTTGTGTCTATGTACCTATCCTTGTGCCTTTTGTATATAACTCTATTTTACCGATTTCTTACTTCAGTTCCTCTAGCTCAAACCAACCTTTTCTGTTTCTAGGACCCAGGGAGCCTCAGCTCCTAGCTGATCCCTGGCCGCACCTGAGTAGAAGAGGTGATAAATCCTTCCTCCTTCCACCAATGCCCAGTTCAACAAATGTCCAGAATTTCCATGACACTTCAACATCTGTGAGGAAACTGGCAATCCTGGCATGCAGTTTGGGGAGTATGGGCAATTTGCAATTCTGTATGGTTAAACTCTTGTCCACAGCAGATAGTTAATGGAACCATGACAAGGACGTTAGGTCTGGATCGCCACTTCTTCCTACCAGCATCCGATGCTCTAGGCCCTGCACCGTATGATACTGGGTGAGGGCAGCTCTCTCCTTCACAGCCTCTTTAACTCAGCCACTACTGACATTTAAGTAGACACACGGGACTACTGGGGGTGGGGAACGGGAGGATTTGATTTGTGTGCTTAGATTTGTATTCTTCAGGGCTGGCCTTGTCATTTTCTATGACTTCCTTTGGGGCCTTGAGGCTTCTTGGGTTTGGGTGCAGCTATTGACAAGATTGGTCCAGGATGGACAGAATACAGGAGAGACCACAACATTGCCTCCAGCCCTTTGCTTACCACCACCGTCAGCTCCTGGACCTATGGGCAACTGTGCCATCCTTGCAAGCAGGCAGCCTGTACCCAGGTCAGTCACTGTTAGTAATGAAGGCCTCACCTCATTGTTAAATCTGTACGCAGGTGCTCCTGGGGGCTCAGAATGACAAAAGCCCTAAGAAGGTATTTTGGCTTAGTATTACATGGCATTGGTTGTTCTACAGATTGCCTCCATCACCACTGGTATCTTTGATCTGTGAACTACATGCCTGGCAGAGTGTTACATGGGCACCACAACCAAAGGCTTGGGCCTCACTATTGCTATTTGACCAAGATAAGCAGATGCTTAGTGGGCGTTGGCGCCTCCCACTTCAGGTCCTTCCTCCTAACTCCAACCTCAGTCTTGGCCAGAATGAAATTCCCCAGGTACGTGTGGAGGGTAGGGACTGGGTCTACTCCAAGATTCAGATGGAGTACCACTCTTCCTTTTCCCAGGCAGGTCAAGCTGAGCTCTTTCTGAGACTGGTGAATGCAAGAGACGCAGATGTCCAGACATTGGCAGAGATCAATCCAGCAAGTGCCCATGAGTACCAGTTCCAGTACCCACCACTGGTAAGAATCCACTGCAGCTAGAAAGTATGACTGATCAGCTTCTATTAGCTAGTATGCATCAGTAACTATATTAACCCATTTGATCCTTAAAATTTACCCATTAAACACTGTGTAGCAGAACCTGCTTCTCTGTGACTTTGTCCACAATCTTTTTACTAGTTCTGCTTAAATTAAAACAAGAACAAAAAAAAAAAAAAAAAAAACTACCTTTCATGTTCTACAGGTATCCAATCCATCTTCACTGGAAACCAGTTCCTTCTCCCACAATCCTGGCTTTGTAGACCCCCAGCCTTCCACAGAAGAGGCTTTCGTCAGTGGGATCCCACCAGTTTTGACCCAAACCCACCAAGTTTTTGAGACAGAAGGCCTAGTTCTAGACTTGTAGCTTTTTTTTTTCTTTTGGTTTTTCGAGACTGGATTTTTCTATATAATAGTCCTGGCTGTCCTGGAACTTACTCTTGTAGACCACACTGGCCTCAAACTCAATAATCAACCTGCTTCTGCCTCCCGAGTGCTGGGAATAAAGGTGTGCGACACCGCCTCCCAGCCTGACCTGCAGTTTTGTTTTTTTTTTTTTTTTTAAATAAAGCCTTAGATAAATTCCAACCAAGCCAACTAGGTTTTTTTCTGTACATTTTCCTTTCGCAAAACAGATTGAGGAGTAAATGATTTCAGATATCCACAGTAACTGCCTGGCATTCAAATCTCTGAAAATAGCTAGGTTTTACTAAAGCTAGCTTTATTGTCAGATTTCACTACAGTCCCAACTTCGTCAGTACTTCTAGACAGAAATCTATCCATCCACAATCCAAAGCTTCCTGAAGATTTAGGTTCCAGCCAAGTAGATCATGTACTGGAATGGCATTCTGAACAACTACAAATCCAATCAGGAAAGATCTTGTACTGGTCATATCAAGTCAATTCCAACTGGAAAGATGGAGAAACTTTAGGACTCAGAACAATAATACAATGTTCAAAGTCAGGATGAGCCCAAGCCTTAGTGACCAGCCCAGAGAAATAATTTGTGAGAGGAAAAAAACAAACAACACAAAAACTGTCATTTCAGCACAATGCCATCCGCACTCAACACTACTTTGCCCCCAGGCTCTATGCTTCTCCAACAGCAATGAGGGGGATCTGTTTCAACACTGGCCTTTGAAAGAGCCAGTGGAGCCGGGTGGTGATAGTGCATGACTTTAATCCCAGCACTCTGGAGACAGAGGCAGGCAGATCTCTGCAAGTTCAGCCTGGTCTACAAGAGCTAGTTCAAGGACAGGCTCTAAAACTACTGTGAAACCCTGTCTTGGAAAAACAAAACAAAAGAGCCAGTGAGCCAGTGTAAGGCAGCTCCCACTTCCTGCACTCAATGGGATGGCCTTTAGCACCTCAACTAAATACCCAGAACTGACAGAACAGCTTGTCACTCAACCCCATATCCCAGTGAGGTACTCCAGGTAACCCAGAACCCTTCTTGTAAAAAAGTATAATTCCAGAAGAAAGATTTTTAATTAGCATATTTATTTTTTTCTACAGCAAAACTGCAGACAATAGAACAATTCCAATTATTGACATACTGCAACCTTACTATGTACAGATCAGACTTTCTCCTCCAGATTCTTCCAGTTATCCCCACCTCAATCTGAGCCTTTCCAGTCAGAGCTTATGTCTCTGATTTAACATACCAACTGTTTTCCTCAGGGATCACTTCCCATGTTTTTATCAGTTTTCCAGCATAGGATTACAGTCTTAACTGGAAACCAGGTGAAAGAAAATCGGTACAACCCAAGACCTGGCTCATATCCAATCATCCATTTTCAGCACCAAGTACATTCCTACCAGTTCATGTTTGGCAGACCCCCTCCCCAATCCAGGAACAGCACCACTGAAAGTGCAAGACAATAAAATTCAGCCAAGTATTTGGAAGTAGAAACTTAGCACCAGAAGAAGATGGACATCTAGCCATATTTGATCACCTCTGCATTAGACAGGAAGTGGGTTGTCCAACAGCAACATACACAGTAAACACATACACCAAAACAACCTAGTGCCCCAAGGCATATATTATATTTAAGAAAAAGCCATAAAAGCCTTAGCTGTTGCCTACAATCTTTATTGAAGTTATACAAAAAGAATCCCCAAAAGTGAAAAAATACATTATGTACAAAACCACTTTCCCTTGGGAGAAAGGTTCTGTTCCCTCTTAACATGCAGTGCCTTCAACGGTAGCTGTAGACTCCACTGTCCCCTCTGCTGCTGCTGGGCTTTTAGCCTGATTCTCAGCCTAAAAGACAAAGAGCCTAGGTATAACTTAGGTATGACATAAGCCATCCTATAATGTATAACGTAGCAGGCTTCAGTCACAAGTAAACACAGGGAAGCTTGCACTTTTCTATGAAACAAAACTACAAGATGCTAAGGCTGAAAAAGCTAGCAGTTCACACATTACATGGGAAGGATCAAATAGTCTTACCTTTCCATAATTCATGAAAGAAATCATAAAATCTATCAGGCATTCATAAGCAAACTATATTCAGTACAACCATTCTGTTATTATATCATATGCACTTGGAAGGCCTGGCTTCCCAGCCCTGAAAGCAGCAGGTTAGGCCAAGTGGCCAAGTCTTAAAACTACCCACCTCAGCCTCCATGTTTTCTGAAACTTCCTGTCCACTGGGGACAGCATCCCCACTGCCTCCATTCAGCTCTGGCTCCTGCTTGGCTTTCTTTGCATCATCTTTCCGGGGGCTCTCTTCTTCTGGTTTCCTCTAGAGATAAAATTATGAAGGCCTCATATTTATCTTAAAAACACAAGCTGCAAAATAATCCCGTAATCCCCATGATGCCAATATCCTGAACATCCTGACTCACACAGCTCACTAGCTCTGCTCTCTAGCACAGGGCAATGCTGACCACTACACAGTGGAATAAACTGCTATGTCCCAGTGTATTTTATCTTTTTTTTTTTAATATTTATTTATTTATTTATTAAGTATACAATATTCTGTCTGTGTGTATGTCTGCAGGCCAGAAGAGGGCACCAGACCTCTTTACAGATGGTTGTGAGCCACCATGTGGTTGCCGGGAATTGAACTCAGGACCTTTGGAAGAGCAGGCAATGCTCTTAACCACTGAGCCATCTCTCCAGCCCCCCAGTGTATTTTATCTTAACATTTCCCTAGTTGGGACACATGGAATTGGGGAGAGTGAGGGGTAGAGATCTGAAGAGTACAAATAGGTTACCTACTTTCAGTCAGTAGAGACAGAAGCCAAGATTTACCCCTCAGGGAAAGAATTATTGATTGGGACTATTGGCAAGAGTGTCAACAGCCATGCCAAACCAGTCAGATTTTAAAATGTACTCATCTTAATCAATCCTGTTTAGCTTTCCAAGTAGCCCCAGGCTAAGAAGCCATGAGTTTGCTGTGTAAGGTATGCTAAGTGAAATGGTTCACCTAAAGAATTCACTCTTTTGGCCCAAGGCGGTGGTGGCTCACGCCTTTAATCCCAGCACTCGGGAGGTAGAGGCAGATGGATCTCTCTGAGTTCCAGGCCAGCCTGGTCTACAAAGCGAGTTCCAGGACAGGCTCCAAAGCTACAGAGAAACCCTGTCTAGAAAAAACAAAAAACAAAAACAACAACAACAAAAAAAAAAGAATTCACTCTTTTGAAAATGAGTGTTACACTGTGCCACTAAGAGGGTGAATCAATTATTGCTAGTGTATTATTTCAGACTTCCTACCCGCAAATGTAGACTGGAGAAAAGGTTAAAAAATAAATACATGTAAATTTTACCTTCTTTCTGACAAGATGGGAAATATCAGTCACACAATTTGACGAGGAAGCACCATCTGTTGGCTTTCTATTGGCAATCTGGCAAAAATAAGTCTTTGTTATTAGCAATTTACAAAAACCTTATTTGACTCAAGGTAGGTTTATTGAAGGAAACACACACACAATACACACCATGGAGACTGAGGTGCCTGCTCCACTAGCAGTGAAACCTGAAGAGGAACTCTCTACCTGTGAGACACAGACACAGTAAGTTATAGCATAGAACCCCAGCCACCCAGGCTTACGTTACCCACCAAGCAATCGATTAAAAGGTTTCAGCATCACTGGCAAGGTGTTCCACACAAAGACAAACAAGAAACTAAACCCTTCATGTCCTATTTCTGACAGAACATTCCCCAGCAAGCATGTCTATGGCCAGGAATGGAGCCAGGTAATTTAGGTTTAAGAGATTCCATGACTTCAGCCTTTTTTATATGGTATTGTCAAAAACATTTTACAATAGTTTAACATAGTATTTATGCTGAAAAGCAAAGAAAAGCCGATGGCCACACAGAGTAACAGTGAGAGCTTTTAAACAAGTGTGTCTGCACATGGCATACTTTCTACCAACTGTACTGTTTGGAACAAGTGAGATGACCTCTCATTCTGATCAACTCCCTCAGGGACAGTCCGGCAGTGCTGGCGCTCACTTTTAATCCCAGCACTTGGGAGGCATAGGCAGGCATATCTCTGAGTTCGAGGCCAGCCTGGTCTACAGAGTGAGGTCCAGGGCAGCCCAGGTACCATGTTATTTAGAGAATTTTAAGAAAAAACTCAACAAACCAGAGTAGCTTTCAAGGCCAGTTCAGCTACATTCCCACTACGCTGAGACTCCTTTGCATCTTCTATCTTTTCTCTAATTTCAGGTAGCAGTTCTTTCAGCTCCTCAATTTCTTTCTCATATTCAGTAAATGATCCTTCAGCCTCCTTCATCTGCTCATTTAGTACAGCTACAAAGAACAGGCTTAAATCATTAGTACCAAAAGGACCTTGTTTTCCCCCCACAGTAAATTGCTGCATCATCTAAGCATAAAGTAGCTGCTGTTCACTCACCCATTCTCTTCTCAATGACTTCAATAGATTTGCCATACTGTGCCACTGCCTCATCATACTGAGAGTTGTAACCGTAGGCCAAACCCAACTGGTAGTGAGTCTCTGCAAGGAGACGGTCATGGGCTTCCAAATATTGTTCCTGGAGGCTTAAACAAGCCTGGAACTCCTCCACAGCTTGGATATAATTCTCTAATGAAGACAAAACATCGAGAATTGTACATTTAATATAAAGCACTTTCAGAATTCAGTTCAGGAATAGTCTCATTTTACATTCCAATTTCTCCCTCCCTCCTAACTTTTCAAACAGGGTCTCGCTATAGCTCTGGGTGGCCTAGAATTTGCTACATAGACCATACTGCTCTTGAGCTCAAAGATCTTCCTATCTCTGTTTCCCCTGCTAAGTTTGGTTTAACTGTCAGATAAACCATTTACAAGGCTGTTTCACTGCTCTAGGCACTATAAGGAACTCAGACCTATTCTTCTGTCTATAGAAACAACAGAATGGGGACATGAAGGAAGTTAGGAGACAGCAAAATTGGAAAATGCATTACCAGATTCAACACTAACTTCTCCAAGTTTAAGATGGGCTTGTGCAGCATAAAGCTGAGCTTCTTTTGTTTCTTGCCTAAAAAGAAAGGTAATTAGAAAAGCCTTAAAAATAACTATCTAATCCTAAAGTGTTTTTGCTTTTCAACCACCAATCTACTTAAAAGCACCAAGAGTTTTTACCTTTTAAAAATGATCTTTGCTAAATCCAGCATATCCCAGGCAAGCTCTAAATTCCCAATCTCCTCCTCTTCGTTTTCTTGAAGAGACTGAAGTATATCCAAATCATTGGCATTAGGCAGAAGTACAAGACATCCTTTGAAAATATATCTAAATATATAATTTACTATCATTTTAAAAAGGAAAGTTGGTTGCAACTCAAAATGCAGGCCTTCTCTATAAAACCTACCAAATGGGCCCCTAGTATATAAGGTCTCTATGTAAAGTGAAATGTAATTGTGATGCTGCATTTCATTTTATGATGAATAAAGGACCTCTATGCCCTAACCAAGAACCAGCTATCTACCTTTCTATTCTAGTAAGCCATGGGCCTACAGTAACAAAGTTACTGAAGGAATAACAACTTACCTTGTTTTCAAGAACTGATTCATTTGTGTTTTCTTCAGCCTTGTCATTTTCTTTGTCTTCTTCCTCTGAGCCTTCAGTTTCTACAAGCAAAAATTCATCAGTATTGAGATGTAACTAAAGGTATTTTCTATTTGGTCAGATTCTGATAAATTATCTGTCAACATACATTCTAAGACAGAACAGGAAAGAGGCTAACCCACATTGAAGTTAAAACCAGAGGTTAACATCTAATTCAAATCTAAACTAATCTAGTCATCAAAATGTCAACGCTTAAGGACTAAGGAAATAAAGCCTTCCAAGAATCTTGCATCTACGCGGCAGACAAGTTTTAGTCATTCATTAAATAAATAGTACACTGAAAGTACCAAAACCTAAATAATCCCATCCATTCACAATTAGCCAAGGGACTAGCTTTCCTACAAGAAGCTATGGGGAAGAAAAAGACAAAGAAAATGACAAGAGCATGTCAGATAGACTCTAGAAACAACAACAACAACAAAAAACTAGGAATAAACAAGCCAGTTTCTTAAGATTTCAACATAAACCAAGTGTTGGTGGCAAATGTCTTTAATCCTAGCGCTCAGGAGTCAGAGGCAGGTGAATTTCTGAATTTGAGGTCAGCCCAAGAACGAGTTCCAGGACAGCCAGGGCAGAGAAACCCTGATTCAAAAAACAATTTTCATTTAAATATGTAACCATACCTACACCTATTTTGATACACAGTCACAAGTCAGAAACAAGTTTTCATAAGATTTAAAACCCAAAACACCAGCTGTTTCAGTTAACACAATCATCACTTAAATTAAGTATGTATTATGCTAGTTGGGGCTTTTTGTTGTTTTAGTTTTTTCTGGGTGTTATTTGTATGGTTTGGTTTTTGAGACAGGGTTTCTCTGTGTAACAGCCCTAGCTGTCCTGGAAATAGCTCTTGTACATCAGGCTGGCCTTGAACTCACAGAAATCTGCCTATCTCTATCTCCTGAATGCTAGGTTTAAAGGCGTGTGTGTGCCTCTACTGCCCAGGCTTCTGTTTTTGTTGCTGTTTTTTCTAAAATTTATTTATTCACTCATTTATTTATATATTTTATTATTATATTATATATTATGTAGTGTTCTGCCTTCAGGCCAGAGGAGGGAAACAGATGTCAATACAAATGGCTGTGGGCAACCATGTGGTTGCTGGGATTGAATTTAGGACCTCTGGAAGAGTAGCTAATGGCTGTTCTTAGCTGCTGAGCCATCTCTCCAGCCCCTTCCACTTCTTAAAGAAACAAACTCTTACTATATAGCCCAAACTAGCCCCAAAGACCAAAGATTGCAATCCTTCTGCATCTCCCTAGTAGCTGGGAATATATAGCTGGCAGCATGCTCAACTTTTTTGGGTTTTTTTTTTTTTTCCTCCCAAGACAAGGTTTCTCTGTAGCTTTGGAACCTGTTCTGAAACTCAATCTGTAGATCAGGCTGGTCTACAGCTCAGAGATCCAGATCCTCCTGCTTCCACCCCAGAGTACTGGAATTAAAGGCATGAACCACCACCAGGCATGTTCAACATTTTTAACTCCAACTCAAAGATTATAAAATGTTGTTGTTTGAGACAAGGTCTAACTTCAGCCATTCTTAAACTTGACGTATATACCAGGTTGGCTTCAAGCCAAGAGAGACCTGGCTGCCTCTCCTTCTCAAATGCTTACTAAACACCTGGCCATAGTGCCTGTCTCAGCAATTTATCTGCAAATCAACACTGATTCATAATGACAACAGGCATAGAACATTCTTGTATATTTCCAATTGGTAGCACAAACCAACAGTACCTGAACATTTGCAAATAACGACCTAGTTAACAACTATAGTTAAACCATAACTAACCAAAAGTCTCATAATTGTGTGTAGCATATATCCACAGAGACAAAAAGTCAGTGTCAGGTGCTTCCTCTATCTCTTTCCACCTTATTTTCTGAGACAAGGTCTCTGAGACTGGAGCTCCACAACTAGCTAGTTATTAAGTTCCCAGAATATAAAAAGGCTCTTTTATTTGTCTCTGACTATGCAATTTAGTGCTTCTGAAGTAGAGCTACCAAAACATTTTTTAATTTAGATTTTTAATATATATAGATATATAGATAGATATAGATAGATAGATAGATAGATAGATATACACACACACACACACATATATATACACACATACACACGTGGAGGCCCAGAAAGATGCCCTGGAGGTGGAGTTACAGGCAGTTGTGAGCTGTCTACTATGGGGCTGAGAACCAAACTTGTCCTTTTCAAGAGCAGTATGTGCTCTTAACAACTAATCCAGCTCCAGCGTTACCTTTTTCATGTAATGTAGTGCCCTGAAGTTTAGACTAGATTCATTTTAATGACTCCACACATCCTCCTACAATAATCAGAGTACAGAAGTAGATACATGTACTCTCACAATACTGCTTAAAATTTCATATATTTATTTTTACTACCTAAAGATTTAATGAAAAGCTGTGATGTCTTTTTATTTTAATAAAAGATGTAATGGCAGCACACACCTTTTAATCCCAGCACTCAAAAGGCAGAGGCAATCAGATCTGAGTTTGAGTACAGCCTGGTCTAAAATGAGTTCCAGGGCTGGAGAGATGGCTCAGAGGTTAAGAGCACTCACTGACTGTTCTTCCAGAGGTCCTGGGTTCAACTCCCAGCAACCACATGGTGGCTCACAACCATCTGTAATGAGGTCTGGTGCCCTCTTCTGGCCTACAGACATATACACAGGCAGAATATTGTACACATAATAAATAAATAAATATTTTAAAAAAGATCTATAAAAAAATAAAAAATAAAAAATAAAATGAGTTCCAGACAGAAACCCTGTTTCTAAAGAAAAATACCAACAACAAAAAAATATTTAACCAAACCCAGGCATGGTGCCTCATGTAATCTCCTCCCTCAAAAACAAATAAATGATGATGTGGAATTCCTATACATAAATCAAATACCCACTTAGCACAAACAACCTGAGCAGAGCAATTTAAATTTTTGTTCACTTACCAACCATACCTAACATGACAATTAAAACACACCAAGACAGAGAATGGAACAGGAAAAAGAAAAGAACACATTGATTTATGAGCGATATTCATATCCTACAAGCCATAAAAAGTCAAGTACCATGAAATGGATTCCTATTTTCTTGTGCTGCTGGGATCAAACACAGAACTTTACTCATGCCAGATAAGTATTCTACCAGTGTCATTTCAGGCACCAGTGCTTTAACTGTGTGTAGAGAATATATGGGGGGGCTGGAGAGATGGCTCAGAGGTTAAGAGCATCACCTACTCTTCCAAAGGTCCTGAGTTCAATACCCAGCAACCACATGGTGGCTCACAACCATCTGTAATGAGGTCTGGTGCCCTCTTCTGGTCTGCAGACACACACACAGACAGAATATTGTATACATAATAAATAAATATTAAAAAAAAAGAGAGAGAGAATATATGGGAATGTAGGTACATTATATAGGTCAGAGGATAGCCTTGGGTTGGGTCAGAGATCAGACAGGGTGTCTGTCCTATGTTCCAAATTAGTTGTTTCACAAGCATCTGGGAGTTCTGTCTGTGGTTCCTTATCTCCCCTTAAGAGCACTGGTATTATAGATGTGAGTACATTCCCGCTTTTATGTGGGTTCTGGGGATTCAAACTCAGGTTCTCACATATAAGATGAGGACTAGCACTGCACACCCACACCTTTAATCCCAATACCTAGGAGACAGAGGCAGGCAGATCTCTGTTCAAGGACAGCCTTGTTTACAGAGCTAGGGCTGTTACAAAGAGAAGCCCTGTCTAGGGGAGGGGGTGAACTAGCATTTAAGCCTTAAAGCCTGACTTACCCATCTCTTTATTAGGTGTGATGAAAGACTTCCTGCCCGCCCGCCCCCCCCATGCCTTATTTGGAAAATACAGAAAATTTTATCAATCAAATAACACTCATAGGTTATGGATTTGGTTCAATAGTGGAGTGCTTGTCTAATACACATGCTGCCCTGGGTTCAATCCTCAACACTAGGAAGAGAAGAGGAAGAAACAAGACATCAGCATTTTAAAAAAACCTGTTTCAAAAAAAAGCAGGAATTCAATTCTGTGCTTTCTACTAAAGAAGTCCTGAAACTTAAGAAGCCCACCAGTACTACCACTTGACAAGTTCACCTTTGGCTGTGTCCATGCTGGCTGGAGAGCAGGGAAGGATCTACATTACAGGTAGATGCTTGCCAGAAAGGTCAAGTATTAAAGATGGATCATTGAAAATCTACAACTTAAGACAACTCTCAAAATAGTCTAGCAATTACACAAAAAATATTAATTGAAATATACCTGTAAATAGATAACTCTTGAAACAGTCTAGCAATTACACAAGATATTAATTGAAATAAGACCTGTAGTCATTAATGCCCATGTTAGATGAAATTTACATATACAGTAGAATCCCCAACTGAGCACAACTCAAGTCAGACGTGCCAATTAGTAATCAGAGGCTAAAAAATTCTGATAAAATTGGAACAGGATTAAGCCACTAAGTTGTTTAGCAGCCAAAGCAAGCATGAAATGAGGAAGGAAAGCAACAAGAGATAAATAGGTAAGTACTTTGCTATCTCTTTTCCCTGAAAAAGGGGTGGGACACACTACTGACATTATTGTGAATAACCTCTAAACATTTCTATAAATCAAAATGTGGAAAGGACACAAGAATGCTAACTGCCTTCATTTATTTAAATGGCATGCCTGCTTAAGTGTACCAATTCAGTGGATTCTACTGTTCGGTTCCTACTTCCTACAGCACGTAAGAGAAACCATGTGAACAGTAAGTTAAAAAACCCAAAGGCATGCAAGTTAACATCCATTCAGCATTCTCTGCCAGCCTATCCTATTATTTCCCTACCTATCCCACAATCCATTTTTAATCCACCCTTCATATCACCTCATTGGCTAGTATGACACAAGTTACTGATAGCTAGCCAAATTTCAGAAATCAGAAGATCTACTTTTTAATTAGTAAAAATATTAGCTACCACCAGCTAAAGACTTGGTGTTCTTGATTTAACTTTAACCTATCACCATGTTCTTAAATTAACCCCATTTTCATTTAGACCTTTCCTAAAGTAATCCTTTCCTAATCCAAAGGCAGACTGAAAATTCTGAATGGAAGGCTGACTTTTACCAATGATTAGTGAGTCAAATCTAGAATGGACTCCACCCATTGCAGCTCTAGTGTATCCCGGTTACCTTCACCCTCTTTCATCTGTTCGTCTCTCTCTTGTGTCTCTTCATTAGCAGCTATCTTAAATTTGTCTTCAGGTGCTTTCTCCGTGGCCCTCTGGGCTACTTTGGTCTCACCCTCATCTCCAGCTGCCTCAGACTCTTCTACAGGTAGCATAGCTTCCTCCTGTTCAGGAACCAGCTCTGCCTTGACCTCCTCTACACTTGAACCATCTTTAGTCTCTGTCAGTCTTTCTGCTGAAGTCTGTGATTCACTAGGAGTCTGATCTTCTGCAGCTGATGGTCCATCAACTGAACCATTGTTGAGAAGAACTGTAATCTCCTGCCCTGGCTTCTCAGAGACATCTGACCCAGCCTCTGCAGCCACCGCTGGTGACACTGCATCTTGCCCTGACAGTTGCTCAAGAACAGCCGTTCCTACTTCACTCTCAGAGGAAGCTACCTGATCCTTTGGTTCCTCCCCACCCACGTCCACACCCACATTGACTGCCGCATCTACTGTTTCAGCTTCTACCTTCATGGCAGTGCCCTGCTTTTCTGGAGCCCCAATAGGCTGATCTTCTGAAGTTTCTTTTGGCTTTTTTTCTACGCTCATTATTTCCTCTCCCTCCTTCTCCTGAGGCACTGTTTCTCTGCATTCTTTATTTTGAACATAAGCTCCAGAAATTGATTTTCCTTCCTCAGCACACAATGATGCCTGTTCTGTCTTCCCAGAAGTGACCTCAGCTTCATTCAGTCCTGGTATTGCTGCTTCTTTTGCCTCTCCAGAGGATTCAGTTAACTGCTTTGAAGTTGATTCAACTTTTTCCTGTAGCTTCTCTGCAGGCTCACTTATATCCATATCTTCTCTTCCACCCTTCTCCACTTCACTTTCCTGTTCTGTATCAGTTTCAGGCTTTGACAGAGACTTGCCTTCTGCTTTTTTGGCTTCTTTTTCTCCCATGGCGTCATAAACCTGTTCTCTCAACTCTTCCCTTGCTTCCTCTACATGGTTAAAGAACATGAAGCATAAACATGTCTCCGAGTTTAATGATAAAAGCATAAATGGAAACTAGAAATACATTCCCTTTAAGTCCTCAAATAGCCTGGCTAAGATTTAGCAGGTGCCCCGGTGAGAAAAGCAAAGAGAATCCAAGCTAGCAAAGCAACATACTGCAAAAGAAATCAAACCTCTTTAGACTAGAAACTGCATATATTCACTTCAAGTAATCTGATTACCAGTCAGAGAAGACATGTCAACCTTTCCTTACTCTCTTCAACATTATATTTATTTGATCTGTAAAACTCTAACAGCCAAACTCAGAAAATATTTAATTTTCTAAGATGCATAAAACACAAAAGTGCTCCAAGGACTCCTACATTAAAATAACTGGGCTATGCAACATGGTTTTAAAAATAAATATGCATCAGAAAAGTAATGTTCTTAATATTTAAATATACAACTTAAATGATGGTTATTAGATAAATTTAGTTATTCTCTTAGAGAGGCTGTCGCTTTAATAATAGCCTACATCTATTGTATCAGCCCAAGTACCCTTGGAGAAACCACCAACATAAGGACCCTATTTCTATAACTTATTTAAAGGAACCATAGGTCATCGCATCTCTTGAATGCAGCATGCAACTCTACATACCATCTACATTATCATTATTTTCAACCAAAGATTCATCTTCTGTTTTTTCTTCTTCCTCTTCTACATGCACTCCTTCCAAGGCATTTCCCAGCACTCCATTCTCCATTCTACAAGAAAAAGCACAAAAGTATAACTAGTCCCTAACAATGTATTTCAACATGGAAAAAAGGCAACAAAAAGAAATCAAGTAAAAAGAAAACAAAGCTACATATTCAAACCAGGAGTAGTAGTTCTACAAGTGCCAGGCTAGCCAGGTCCACAAAGTGAGACTAGTCTTTATTTATTTTAAATATTTATTTATTTATTATGTATACAATATTCTGTCTGTGTGTATGCCTGAAGACCAAAAGAGGGCACCAGACCTCATTACAGATGGTTGTGAGCCACCATGTGGTTGCCGGGAATTGAACTCAGGACCTTTGGAAGAGCAGGCAATGCTCTTAACCTCTGATCCATCTCTCCAGCCCGAGACTAGTCTTTAAAAATAAGGGGATGAGGGGCCAGGGGAGATGGGGAAGCAGTACTGCACTTCTGAGTTCAGTTGCTAGCACTCACATCAGATGGCTCACAAATCTAACTCCAGCCCAAGGGGATCTGAGGACTCTAGCCTGGAAGAACACTTCCTCACATATGCACAAACCCACACTTACATCGAATTAAAATAAGAAAAGAATCTTTGTCACGTGCCTTTAATCCCAACACTCAGGAGTCAGTATCCGGCAATTCTCTGAATCCAAGACCAGCCTGGTTTACACAGTGAACACCTGGTAGTGGTTTGAATGAAACCTACCCCCCCCCCCCCATAGGCTCATGTTAGGGTCATAGCTTGATCCCCAGTTAGTGGAGGTTTGGCTTGTTGGAAGAGGACTGTTACTAGGGATAACATTCTCAATTTACTCTCTCCACATCAAGTTTGCTGCCTCAGTTCTAAGCTCTCAGCTAATTCTCTAGTGCCATGCCTACTGATTTGCTGTGATGCTCCCTTCCATGATAGTCATGGACTCACCCTGGGACATCTGTATTATACTCCCAAGGCTCAGGGGACACCAAGAAGAGGCACAAGGAATGTGATTGGAAATGAAGGGTGAGGATATTAATTTCCAGATATGATAAGACAAGAACACTCTTCTGCTCTCCAGCAACCGTGATCGCCTATGCAAGATCGCCACAGGAATAGGCCTGCGAGCAACTGGTCAGGGAAAATGGAAGGGGCTCATGAGGCTTCAGCCTTACTTGAAAATTTTTATATATACTGACAACAACTGGTAGGAAGCCAAAGACATTTCCTTCAGTGTGCAACCACTGAAAAACTACCCTCTTGCCTATGAATGAACCTAACGAAACTCACTGGTAGCACACATCAAAGTACAGGAAGCAGGGGCACAGCTGGGAAAAAGAGTATTAACACAAGTGGGAAGGGCATGAGAGGGTAAACGGGGGTAAAAATAATTGAACTATATGATGATTATGTAAGAAAAGTCCTAATGAAACCCATTATTATGAAGAATTAAAATACTAATTTCTTTGTATAGCAGGAACATACTATTTCCCAAACATCACATCCAGTCCCATTTCTCTAAAGGGCCAGTGTTCTGTCAACATTTTCAAACCAAGTCATTAAGTGTTTTGAATAATCACAAAATTAAGAACATAAGAAGAGAACTATATATAAAGACTGATCATTCGTCATTTTATATGGTTTCAAATATTTCAGACATGTTAATAAATTTCTTGAGTGGTTTCCAAGAACATTAATAGTAAGTCCTTTTAACTGTGGAGAAGAACATGGGCTTGGAACAGGGTCACTCTTAGGCTTGCTTAGGCTCCCCTTAAACTTGATCCTCCTGTTTTAGCCTCCCCAGGTGTTGGGAAATTCACAAATGTGGAATCATAACAAGCAGAAATTTCTCCTTACTAGACACTTTAATGTACTCCTTATTGTCCTCCATACAGTCATTATTAAGTTTTGAGCTAGCTCAGAATACTTCTGAATGTTCACAACCTTGTCTTAAACTCTGATCAATCATTATCTATTACTGAAAATATCTTAGCTTCCACTAATTCAAAACCCCAAAATTTCATTTTTTGCATAATTTTAGCCAACAAGAAAGCTTCAATTTTTTTTTAAAAAGATTTATTTATTTATTATGTATACAACATTCTGCCTCAATGTATGCCCACACGCCAGAGGAGGGCGCCAGATCTCATTACAGATGGTTGTCAGCCACCATGTGGTTGCTGGGAATTGAACTCAGGACCTCTGGAAGAACAGCCAGTGCTCTTAACCTCTGAGCCATCTCTCCAACCCGAAAGCTTCAATTTTTAAACAGACCAAAGTAATATAAAATATTCTATTTACGCCGGGCAGTGGTGGCGCACGCCTTTAATCCCAGCACTCGGGAGGCAGAGACAGGCGGATCTCTGTGAGTTCGAGACCAGCCTGGTCTACAAGAGCTAGTTCCAGGACAGGCTCCAAAGCCACAGAGAAACCCTGTCTTGAAAAACCAAAAAAAAAAAAAAAAAAAAAAAAAAAAATATTCTATTTACAAAATGAGGCTTTCCGGGGCTGGAGAAATAGCTCAGCGGTTAAGAGCACTGACTGCTCTTCCAGAGGACACGTGTTCAATTCCCAGCACCCACATGGCAGCTCACAACTGTCTGAAAATCCAGTTCCAGGGGATCTGACACCTTCACACCAATGCACATAAAATAAAAATAAATAAATCATAAAAAAAAATTAAAAAAAAAAAAAAAAACAAAATGAGGCTTTCCAAGACATACCTGGCCAACTCCAAAAGTGACTTCCCATAAAAAAAGAAGGCTTCTCCACATTCATTAGCTGTTTCTCCATACTTCTTGCCTCTATAAAGAAAGTAAATATCTAGTCTGAACATTGTTTATTGCTAGTTAACACATGATGTTAATGTTACATGTTCTTCACACATATATAATATATATTTTAAGTACTACCAAAGAGGTATTTTATAATAGGTATTCCTCCTGCCACACTACAAATATCACTGTGGACCAGAAGTTACAAGACCTTTGATTGGAACTTACTTGATAAAAAATCATGAAAAGTTATACTGAAATGAAGACTATTGTTTTTGGGTTTGTTTTTTTTTCCCTATAATTTACTTTTATTTATGTTCATTGGTGTTTTGCCTGCAAACACAACAAATAGTTTCTTTAAAAAAAAAAAAGTAATCAAACAATATCTCTTAGCCAAGCGATGGTGGTACACACCTTTAATTCCAGCATTTGAGAGGCAAGCCAGCGTGGTCTACACGCTACAGAATAAATTCTGTAGAACCAATCATATTTTAACTGAACCCAATCATATTTTAAATAATAAAGAGTAAAAATAAATCGTCTTTTTTCTTTTATTGGTTTTCAAGACAGGGTTTCTATGTAACCCAGGCTGTCCTGGAACTCACTCTGTAGACCAGGCTGGTCTCAAATTCAGAGGATCCACCTGCCTCGGCCTCCAGAGTGCTGGGATTAAAGGCATGCACCACTATTGTCTGGTTTTAATTGTCTTCTTAATCAGTAATGACTGGAAAAAAAAAAATCACCTTACTCAGAAAAATTACTGAAATTACGAAGTGATACTTAGGCTTAGAATTACAAGAAAAACTCCTCTATGGAAAGTAAAGAGCCAGAGTTGTGGTACAGAGGATTAGACATATATATTAGACAAGTACTCTGCCATTTAACTATATCCTTAGTCTTCATTCTTTCTCCCCATAGAAAAACTTTTAAAGGTTGGTTGGCAATATAATAGTGTTTTATAATAAACATATACTTACAAAAGACTAGCTGCTTCCTGGAATGCATTAACCGCCGATGGAATGTCCCCCATTACCAGATGTTTCTGTCCTAATCCCAATAGTTTCTTAGCTTCACTATCCACATCCAAACTGCAAGAAAAGTATTTTATTCAGTAACAAATATTGTTTAAACCAATACTCACTGAATACAATTTTACATTTAAACCATAACAATATAAATTTTTAATTTTGGACTGCTATGGAAGACCTAGCAAATTAATTGGGCATGATGATAGATAATCCCAGCATTCTAACGGCAAAGGCAGGATTGACTGAAAAGGCTAGGTTGTATATGTGAAGGGTGGCAAGTGGCATACTTTAATCACAGATCTCTCTGTGAGTTCAAGGTCAGCCTGTTCTACAGAGCTAGTTACTGAACAGCCAAGGTTACCAGTGAAACCTTGCCTTGACTCAATAAATCAAAACAGACACAAACAAGAGATTAGAAATGCAGCATTCGCAAATGCTTTACCAATGTTACAATGTGTTATTATATACAATACATTATATACAATACATTCACAAATGCTTTACCAATGTTACAATACATGTTATTATATACAATAAAAAAGGAACTACTAGGGAACCCCAAAGTCATACAAGTTTACTAGCTAAAGAAAAAATTAACCAGAAAGAAAGACAGAAAGAGAAAGAAAGAGAAAGAAAGAAAGAAAGAAAGAAAGAAAGAAAGAAAGAAAAGAAGAGAAATGGTAGTGGTGGTACACTGGCACACTCAGGAGGCAGACAGGTGGATCTCTGATTTTGAGACCAGAGTTCCAAAACAACCAGGGTTACACAGAGAAATCATCGGGGGGAGGGGGGAGATCAACCAACCAAAACAACAAAACAGACAAGGCTGAGGATAGAGATGTTAACTATGCTTTCCTAATATGTACAAAGCTCTAGGTTCCATCTCTACAACTATATAAACAAGACATGGTCATAGATATCCATAGTATCAGAACTCAGGATATAGAGATAAACCTAGTTATCAGACCTCATCTAAAAACAGAAAGATGGTATGGTGGCACACAACTTTAATCCCACTAAAATCACATGGCAGAGGCGGCCTATTTCTATGATTGGAGGCCAGATTGGTCTACATAGTTCAGGGGAGCCAAAGCTATAAAGTAAGTCTTTGTCTTAAAAAAGTGGGGCAGAGGGGCTGGAGAGATGGCTCAGTGGTTAAGAGCATTGCCTGCTCTTCCAAAGGTCCCGAGTTCAATTCCCAGCAACCACATGGTGGCTCACAACCATCTGTAATGAGATCTGGTGCCCTCTTCTGGCCTGCAGGCATACACGCAGACAGAATATTGTATACATAATAAATAAATAAATATTTAAAAAAAAAAAAAGTGGGGCAGAAAGAAGGCTCAGCAGTTAAGTGCCTAATCTTGCAGAGGTCCCAGATTCAGTTCCTAGTACCTACATGGAAGTTTACAACCATCACTAACTCCAGTTCCAGGGAATGCAATGCCCTTTTCTGACTGTGCTAGCACATGGTACATGTAATACACAAAGGCAAAACTTTTTTGGGGGGTTTCTCTTTTGGTTTCTTGAGACAGGGTTTCTCTATAGCTTTGAAGCCTGGAACTCACTCTGTAGACCAAGCTGGCCTCGAACTCAAGAGATCCGCCTGTCTCTGTCTCTGGGAGTGCTGGGATTAAAGGCATAAATCACCACCATTCAGCAGCAAAACAATTTAAATTAAAAAGAGTAAGGAAGGCCGGGCGGTGGTGGCACATGCCTTTAATCCCAGCACTCGGGAGGCAGAGGCAGGCGGATCTCTGTGAGTTCAAGACCAGCCTGGTCTACAGAGCCAGTTCCAGGACAGGCTCCAAAGCCACAGCGAAACCCTGTCTCGAAAAACAAAAAAAAAAAAAAAAAAAAAGAGGAAGGAAGGAAGGACAAAGCATGTAGTTTGACTTGGAAATACAACTGAGTGACTCAGTTAAAACCTTTTCTTGGCATGTGTGAGAACCTAGATTCAATCAAGTCCCTTATACCACAAAAGAAAAACAATTAGGTAGGAGACGGTGATTAAGGTAAGACATTATAGGGGAAAAAATAGGACATTATGGTATAAAGCATAAAATAAAAAGAACAGATCAGAATACAAAATAGATCCACACAATATAGGCAATTAAAATCTCGACAGAGAGCTGGAGAAATGAGAAATGGCTCAGAGGTTGAAAGCACTGGCTGCTCATTCCCAGCAACCACATGGTGGCTCACAACCATCTGTAATGAGATCAGGAGCCCTCTTCTGGCATGGAGGTGTACATGTAGGTAGAACACTAATAAGTCTTTTTAAAAAAATCTTGACAAAGGTACCAAACAATTAATAGGAAATGTGTAATCTATAATCTGTATAGCAAACAATCCTAGAATAAAACTGATAGTTTAGCCGGGTGGTGGTGGCGCACGCCTTTAATCCCAGCACTTGGGAGGCAGAGGCAGGCGGATCTCTGTGAGTTCGAGACCAGCCTGGTCTACGAGAAACCCTGTCTCGAAAAAGCAAAAAAAAACAACTGATAGTTTAAAAAAAAAAGTAGGGGTCTGGAGAGGTAGCTTAGGGGTTAAGAGAACAGATTGTTCTTCCATAAGACCCAGGTTCAATTCCCAGCACCCACATGGTAGCCCTAACTGTAATTCCAATCCAGCAAAATTAGTGCTTTCTTCCGCCCTGCAGAATCCTGATGTATGTAGGGCATAAGCTCGCATAGCTACTCAAACATACACTAAAAAGATAATTAAAAAAATAAATAAAAACCAAATCTTAAATAAATAATCCAAAAATAAATAAAGCAAAATTCATATCTCACATCATAATACAGAAATTAACTTTAGGAGTGGCTCAGCAGGTAAAAGTGCTTGCCTCCATGCCTGGAAACTTGAATTCAATCAATCCCTAGCATTCATATACAAAAAATGAGAAACTCATAAGCTGTTATGGGACCTCCACCAGACTCCACCGTCCATGCTGTGGCGTTTACAAATTCATATGTACACATATATAACGATAAAAAAAAAAACAAGTAGAAGCCAAGTTTGGTGGAGGCAGATGGATCTCTAAAAATTCAAAGCTAGCCAAGTCTAGTGAGTCTTATCTTAAAAAATAAAAGATGAAGGACGGATATACCTCAGTTGATAATAGTTGCCTAATAAGCAAACACAAAAAGTCCTGCATTTGATCTCCAGCAGTAAGTACATAAAAGCAAGTAGGGGGGCATATGTCTCAGGAGTTGAAAAACAGAGGCAAGAGAATTGTAAATTCAATGTCATCACAGGAAATAATAGGAGACTGAGGCAAACCTATGTTACATGAAACCCTCTCTCAAAAACAAACAAAAACACTAAATAAATAGAAGGTTGAGCTGATTGGCAGTGGCACGTGCCTTTAATCCCAGTACTTGGAAGGTCATCCTCAGCTACATAGCAAAGTAAAGACTACCTTAGGATAGTTACAAGATACTCATTAAAAAGAATTAAAAAAAAATATATCCATACTTGTAATTTCAGGGCTTAGTAAAAAAGAATGGGGAATGGGTCTCACCAAATGCACAGAAAGGCTATAAACTAAAGCTAAAGCAATTCATCTTCCTGTTTCAATCCCTAGAATAACTAGAAATACAGCTCAAACCACATTTTTTTTAAAGTCACCTCCAGCTTCATCAGAATGTTTTTTAAAATATTGGGATACTGTCAAATTCACTGTGGTCAAAAATACTTTCCAAAATCTTAAATTATTTCCAAGTCTTACTGCTGTTGCTTCTGAGATAGTGTCTCTTTTAGCCCAAGATAACTCCTGTCCCAGGATTCCATATGCTGGGTATCCTAGCTACTTGAGAAACCATGCCTTGAAAAACCAAACAAACAAAAAAGCTGAGCACACCTTTAATCCCAGCTTTTGGGTGGCAGAGGCACAGATCTCTATGAATTTGAGATCAGCCCGGTTTACAGATCAAGATCAAGTTCCAGGATAGTCAGGGTATCCAAAGAAACCCTATCGAGGGGAAAAACAAAAACAAAACTAGTTTACCATGTGTCTGTGGGCAAACCAAAGAAAACACTAGCAGTCTTGCCATGGTTCCCTCTCTGATTCCCCTTATTGATGGACCTTGAAGTATTAAGCCAAATCCTTTCTTCCCCAGATATTTTTTGGCCAATGTTTTATAATAATCATATAACCAATCCTCAAAAATCTTAATTTTCATTTACCTCAAAATCTATCACTGGCAACAGATACTGTCAAGTTGATTCCCATAAGGAATGTTCTCATTTTGAACAAAATGTCTTCCAAATATCTAGGTATTTTTCAATAATCTGCTAGCAACTCATAGTGGTCTGGTGGCACAAGTCTTTATGTCAGAAGGATACAAGTTTACCTACCACCGTTAACATTAGCACCAATGGTTTGAATGATGAAAGAAGCAGATTTTATAAAAATGATCTAAATGAACCCAGCAGTGGTAATGCATGCCTTTAATCTCAGCAGAGGCAGGCGGATGTCTGGGAGATCGAGGCCAGCCTGGTCTAGAGTTCCAGGACTGCTAGAGTTGTTGCACAAAGAAACCCTGTTTCAAAAAAACCACTAGGAAGGAAGGAAGAAAGGGAGGGAAGGGAAAGAGGAAAAAAAAAATCTAAATGAATCCCTAAAAAGGAACCTTAGAGGCATCCAAGAAGAAAACTTGAAGGGCTAAAGGTACAGTTCCAGTGATATAGTATTTGACTACTGTGAGTTAAGGTAGTCAGCAAACTATCCTTAGTTTTATTACCTCACTATAATTATGATCATAATTGTACCATATTATCTCACCTCTCCATTTTATCTGCAGAGGTAGAAGGAGCAGGGGCATCTTCAATTCTGCAATGAAGAATAAAAAGAAAAAAAAACAGAAGATACTTTAAGCTTGAATGTAAAGTCAGAAGAATAGAAAAAATATAAAAGTTTTTGTTTTAAACAACCAATAAAAAGCAAGTATTACTGATTCAAATGCATTATTAAATTCAATTCTTGGGTCAATAAATAAGATGGCTTAGTGGCTAAAGTCACACTTGCTCCCAAGCCTGACAATATAGTTTCATCACTGGAATCTACACGGTAGAATGGTTCACTCAAGTTGACCTCTATTGACATGTGCTCCCCTTAATGTTACACAAAACAATAACATAGCTTAAAAACTAAAACAAGCCCAGCAGTGGTGGTGCACACCTTTATCCCAGCACTCAGAAGTTAAAGTAGGAAACACAGACAGTCTCTGTGGGTTTCAGGCCAGCCAGAACTATATAGTAAAACTGTCTCAAAAATAAATAAAATTTAATCCTAAACCACTTAAGTAAACAGCAACTTCACGGCAAGAATTAGAAAATAAAAACAGGCTCAATTGGGCTGGAGAAATGGCTCAGTGGTTAAGAGCACTGACTGCTCTTCCAGAGGACCCAGGTTCAATTCCCAGCACCCACATGGCAGCTCACAACTGTCTGAAGATCCAGTTGCAGGGGATCTGACACCTTCACACCAATGCACATAAAATAAAGTTAAATAAACCTTAAAAAAAAAAAAAAAAACAGGCTCAATTTAAAAGGTAGTACCTTCAGGCACAAGAATAAAAAAAAGGGCCGGGCGGTGGTGGCGCAGGCCTTTAATCCCAGCACTCGGGAGGCAGAGGCAGGCAGATCTCTGTGAGTTCGAGACCAGCCTGGTCTACAAGACCCAGTTCCAGGACAGGCTCCAAAACCAGAGAAACCCTGTCTTGAAAAACCAAAAAAAAAAAAAAAAAAAAGAATAAAAAAAAGGCTATCTACCAGATCCTGGAATGACCTTTTTGATTCTTATGTACAAACTCTGCAACAGCTAGTTATACTAGGCAAATTCTTACACATGCTAGGCTTGAAATAAGTGCTCAACCACTGACCTACCAACATCCTCCAGCACTAAGGATTACTTGATTATGTTGATCCAATGGTACAGGGATAAAGTTTTCTGGTTTTTGAAGATAAGAGTTTCCCTACAGAACAGAACTGCCTGCCTCTACCTCCCCTCCCAAGTGCTGGGATTAAAGACGTGCAAAACCACCACCCTGCTCAGGTAAAAATTTGTTAACTACCATGGTTAAAGGACTAGGTTTTTTCATTATTTCCAATATGTAAAAATAATTTTTTTTCATGAAATAGAAGACATGTCACAAGGTAATGTCAGATTGTGCTGTATTTCTAAATACCCTAAAGCTTTGTACATGTATGCTATTAAAAGTTCATAAAACACTATGAACTCGCTGGGCAATGAATGGTAGGGCACACCTTTAATCCCAGCACTTGGAAGACAGAAGCAGACAGATCTCTGAGTTCAAGGCCAGCCTGGTCTACAAATAGAGTTCTAGAACAGTCAGAGTTGATCACAGTTAAACCCTGTCGCAGAAGGAAAAAAAAAAAAAACCTACAGCACACCCAATACATAACATTGCTATACTGTAGTATGCAATTCATGGTTCAATACCTCAGTTTGTGGCAGGGCAGCAGTGGTGGTGCATGCCTTTAATCCCAGCACTTGTGAGGCAAAGAGAGGTAAAACCCTATCTCAAAAAACAACAAAAACAGGCTGGAGAGATGGCTCAGTGGTTAAGAGCACTGCCTGCTCTTCCAAAGGTCCTGAGTTCAATTCCCAGCAACCACATGGTGGCTCACAACCATCTGTAATGAGGTCTGGTGCCCTCTTCTGTCATGCAGGGATACATACATAATAAATTAATAAATCTTAAAAAAAAAAAACGTGTGGCGGGGAAGTGGGGGTTGTGGCGTGGTGCAGGCCTTTAATTAGAGCACTTGGGTGGCAGAGGCAGGCAGAACTCTTGAGTTCAAGGCCATCCTGGTCTACAGAGCAAGTTCCAGGGTAGTCAGGAATGTCTGACCTAAAAACCTTGTCTCGAAAAACAAACAAACATAAATAAAAGTTGGAGGCTTTTTTAAAATAAGTGAGCATGTAATTTTCTATGTATAGCCTGTCAAGAAGCTGAAAATTACCAGTGGCCAAAGTTTGACTGGATACAAATGACATGAAAAATTCAGCGATGAGATTCAAATGAAGACTTCATACATGCTAGGCAAACTAACCGAGCTACATCCCACAAAATGTAAAGTATTGGAAGGATGAGGATCCCCAATGTAATAATAACAGCTGTTCAGGAAGCACCATAAAGAGAGATTGCTCTTGTAATAAATTCTACAGAATTAGCAAATCAATCTACTCTGGTCATAAGCAATCAATAAAGAAGCAGGAAATGGGAATCTAAAATTGAAACTGTAGTTCCCAAATTACTGAGTGAGTGGTCTGAAAAACACTGCTTTTCAAGAACCCACTATGAAAAGAACCAAAGGAGGCTGGAGAGATGGCTCAATGGTTAAGAGCACCGGCTGCTCTTCCAAAGGTCCTGAGTTCAATTCCCAGCAACCACATGGTGGCTCACAACCATCTATAATGAGATCTGGTGCCCTCTTCTGGCATGCGGGCAGACATGGGAGGAATGTTGTATACATAATAAATAAAATCTTTAAAAAAAATAAATATTTTAAAAAAAAAGAACCAAAGGGTGATAGGTAGATTGTGCAAAGTTATCGTTAATCTCTGGTACAAATGTACTAATTAAAATGTCAACTAAAATACCTAACCTATAGCAAAACCACTCAAAAATCTCACAGCCACCTTTATTTTTGCGAGAAGCAAAACTTCTAAAATATACAGGGACGAAAACATAGTGGCAGGCTCCTAAAAGAAAGAAGATAAGGGAAGGTTGGCAAATAAGACCTACTGCATGGAAAACATCTTCCTCCAAATGGCGGGTGTTTCTGGGCACTAACCAGAGAAGGGCTCACGTTTATTAGCACTGTGAAGCTCTCAAAGCCATTATTCCTTCTTTGAGGTCCTTACCCTTAGCGGACTCATCTACCAAGTAACACTGCGAAGGCGGAAAGCTCCACGTAGCTTCTACCTAAGACCTTAAGAGTATGAAAATGTACCCTGAAGCAAGCAAATCTCCGACCCGCAACGGAAAACCTAAAAAATCACAACGCTTCTCAGCCGAGGCGGAGGGTGGCGGAGCGTCAGCCCCATGGCGACCCTCGGACTGCGGCCCTGTGCCCGAGTCCCGGATAAACTTCACTGCGCACCAGCTAAGGCACGAGCCGCTCAAACCCCAAACAATGGAGTTTTCCCGCCTCCTCGAGGCTCCGCCCCCTCCTCGGGAGCTCGGGGCACCGAACACACGCGTGCAAGCCCCGCCCTCCCCGAGGCCCCGCCCACCAGGGCGCTCCGGTCCAAGCCTCAATCCTCGTGTGTGGGATTTTTTTTTTTTTTGGCGCCAAATCTGTTGGTCATTTTCTAGGTTCCTCTGCCGACTCTCTACCCAGCCTCATGCAAGGCGTGCGCGGAAAGCAAGGGCTCAAGAGTCGAGCGGCGGCGGAGGGCCCCGCCTCCCCACCCGCAGCCCCGGGCCGGGGGAGGAAGAAAAGGGGCAGGCGATGGAGCCACCCGCCGCTGCCCCCGGCAAGATGGCGGCCGCGGAAAGCCGGGCAGGGGGCGCCAGTCACCCGCCGTCCCCCCGGCCGCCAGCTCCTCGGACGCGGGGCTCCCGCACCGACCCGAGGGTGTTGCGGGGACGGCGTCTGTCCCGCCCGCCAAGCCCAGTCCCGGCTCTCCCCGCCGACTGGCCAGTGCCTCCAGCTCGCCACAGTCCGGCTTACTTGTCAGCGGAAACCAGCTCCCCGGCGATGGCAGCAGTGGCTGTCGACTCTGTGGCCATCGTTCCCCTGAGGTGGCGGGCCGGTGGGCAGAATACTGCCTGTGAAGACAGCAGCGGACTCACGGCAGCGAAGACTCACTCGGGGACAGAAAATGGCAGATTGGAGACCCCGCGCGGTTGGGGCCCTCTTATATAGCAGGGCCTCTTGCCCCGCCCATCCACTTCCGGATCCTCCCCCTCGGGTTTAAAGGGCCAAGACTCAAAACCCTTCCGTCACAAGGACACTTCCCCGCCCAGGTCGGCTTTCCTCAAAAAAAAAAAAAAAAAAAGGAAAGTAAAAGAAAGAAAGAATGAATGGAGGACAAACAACAAAAACTTCCTGTGCCTGTAGCTAGTCGTGTTAAAAGCCCCAGAATCTTGGCACTACAACTTCTGACGGAGCCAGCCTAGAGAGCTCCCACATTACGTGGAGGCAGTGAGTCTGCGGGAGTGGAAAGAGTAGCCGAGGGATTCCGTCTGGCGGGGATACCCGAAGAGGTTACGGTCTTCTCGGTGCCCTCTCACTCTTAACGGATGGAAACGCAAGAGCCGAGCACGAGTACAACAGCAACGGCTAGAACTGACCAGAGAGACTCGTGGCTCAGAGCCTCAGCAACTACTGACGAAAGAGGATGCTGGTCTAGGATTGGCTACAGACGAATCTATCGCGCTAGATTCAAAACTGCGAGGGGGAAACGCACTCGGCTGTTTCCTCCTCCCTCTAGATCCACCCCTTTTGGCTGGCCCAATCCAGGGATGCCTCCCCATATTCCAGGACTGAGTTGTTGAGCTGAATCCCTCTGCATTTAACACACTTTAAATCTTTTAGCTATCTTACTTAATTTTTTCCTTTTTCCCGAGACAGGGTTTCTCTGTAGCTTTGGAGCCTGTCCTGGAACTAGCTCTTGTAGACCAGGCTGGCCTCGAACTCACAGAGATCCACCTGCCTCCGTGTCTCCCGAGTGCTGGGATTAAAGGCATGTGCCACCATCGCCCGGCCGTAATTATTTCTTTCATATGAAAGGGACAAGGACTCACAGAGACCAGCCTGTCCCCAAGTGCTGGGGTACAGATGAGCAACACCATATCCATCTTGTTTTACAACTCTCAGTAACTCCAGTTCCAGTATATCCAGTGCCCTCCTCAGGCCTCCAGAGGCACTTAGCACACTCATGGTCCACATGTATGCATACAAACAAACACTCATAAACATAAAAGTAAGCGGAATCTTTTAAAAATAACTTTTTTAAGCCAATGAGGAGGCAGGGGCAGGTGGGTTTCCCTGAGTTCGAGGCCAGCCTTGTCTATAGAGCTAGATTCAGGACAGTCAGGTACACAGAGAAATCATGTCTTTTTTTTTTAATTTTTTAATTTATTTATTTATTAAAGATTTCTGTCTCTTCCCCGCCACCGCCTCCCATTTCCCTCCCCCTCCCCCAATTAAGTCCCCCCCCCAGCCCGAAAAGCAATCAGGGTTCCCTGTCCTGTGGGAAGTCCAAGGAACCCCCACCTCCATCCAGGTCTAGTAAGTTGAGCATCCAAACTGCCTAGGCTCCCACAAAGCCAGTGCGTGCAGTAGGATCAGAAACCCATTGCCATTGTTCTTGAGTTCTCAGTAGTCCTCATTGTCTGCTATGTTCAGAGAGTCCGGTTTTATCCCAGGCTTTTCCAGACCCAGGCCAGCTGGTCTTGGTGAGTTCCCAGTAGAACATCCCCATTGTCTCAGTGTGTGGGTGCACCCCTCGCAGTCCTGAGTTCCTTGCTCATGCTCCGTCTCCTTCTGCTCCTGATTTGGACCTTGAGAGAGAAATCATGTCTTTTTTTTTTAAAGATTTATTTATTTATTATGTATACAACATTCTGCCCGCACACCAGAGGAGGGTGCCAGATCTCAGTACAGATGGTTGTGAGCCACCATGTGGTTGCTGGGAATTGAACTCAGGACCTCTAGAAGAGCAGCCAGTGCTCTTATCCTCTGAGCCATCTCTCGAGCCCCCGAGAAATCATGTCTTGAAAAACCAAGTGATAATGATAATAATTGTTCAGGTGGAGCTCTGCCTCACCCCCCTCCTCTTAAAATTTGCCCAGTCTCAGAAAGCCTGCCAAGTGGTGGCTCCTCCCACAGAAATGCTCAAGACCATACCTACAGGGTATTTTTTTAACCTACAAGGTATTTAAAGAGCCTTCTAAGGAAAGGCCATGTTCTGCTCTTTCCTGGGACCACCTGGGAATCCTTTTTTCAGAATAAAACCTGGACTTTAATTCGGTTCGATTTGGACTGGTCTGATTTATTGCATTGGTGGAGTTACCCACTACCAGAGGATGTTTTTACTTATCAAAAATAATGATAATAGGGCTGGAGAGATGGCTCAGCGGTTAAGAGCACTGGCTGCTCTTCCAGAGGTCCTGAGTTCAATTCCCGGCAACCACATGGTGCCTCACAAACATCTGTACTGAGATCTGGCACCCTCCTCTGGCATGTGGGCATACATGGAGGCAGAATGTTGTATACATAATAAATAAATAAATAAATCTTTAAAAAAATAATGATAATAACAATAATTTGTTTAAAAGGCCAGGTGTGGTCACAAACACCTTTAGTCTCAGCACTCCAGAGAGTGTTGGGATCTCTGTGAGTTCGAAGGAGTCTGATTTATATAATGGATTCCAAGACACCAAGGCTAAGTAGTGAAATCCTGTCTCAACTATTTTTCATTTTTAAAATTATGTATATGAATGTGTGTCTAAGTATGGATTTGGATCCCCTAGAGCTGGAAGTAGAGATAGTTATGACCAGAACGTAGGTGCTAGGATCCAAACTCCAGACCTCTAGAAGAGCGGCAATCATTTTAAAGGAATGATCCTCCTTCCCAGTAATTGACTTTCCCCTTTCTAGTTAACTGTTAGATCTTACTTTTCCTTTCCATTTTTAAAATTTGTTCTGGTTTTGGTTTGTTTGTTTGTTTCTGGTTTTTCGAGACAGAATTTCTCTGTGTAACAGCCCTGGCATGTCACCACCACCTAGCTTTTTAAATTCTTTTTCGTGTTAAACAAGATGAGATAGCTGAATCAAAAACTTTTAGCTGGGCAGTGGTGGCGCACGCCTTTAATCCCAGCACTTGTGAGGCAGAGGCAGGAGGAACTCTGTGAGTTTGAGCCAGCCTGGTCTGCAGAGCTAGTTCGAGAACAGCCAGGTGTGTTACACAGAGAAACACTGTTGGGGGGGGGGTGTGATGGATATGTTATTTTTGTTTTCTTTCTTAAGTCAGGGTTTCTCGGTAGAGCCCTGGTTATCCTGGAACTTGCTCTGTAGACCAGGCTGGCCTCATACTCGGAGATCAGCCTGCCTCTTGCCTCCTGAGTGCCAGAACTGAAAATGTGAACCACCATGCCTTTTATTTTTGAGACAGTCTCATATGATGCTAGCCTCCAATTTTACATAGTCAAGGATAATCCTGAATTCCAGATTCTCCTGCTTCCACCTCCCAAGAGCAAGGGTTATTTCTGAATGTCACCACACCCAACGTTTCTGGAGTTTTTGAGACAGGGTCTGACACAGCCAGTATAAGATACAATGAGATTGCCGGGTGGTGGTGGCGCACGCCTGTAATCCCAGCACTCGGGAGGCAGAGGCAGGCAGATCTCTGTGAGTTCGAGACCAGCCTGGTCTACAGAGCTAGTTCCAGGACAGGCTCCAAAACCACAGAGAAACCTTGTCTCGAAAAAACCAAAAAGAAAAAAAACAATGAGATCCTGCCTCAAAAAAGAAAAAGAAAAAAAAAAGTTAAAACAAACTCATTAGGAAGGCCGGGTGGTGGTGGCGCACGCCTTTAATCCCAGCACTCGGGAGGCAGAGGCAGGCGGAACTCTGTGAGTTCGAGACCAGCCTGGTCTACAGAGCTAGTTCCAGGACAGGCTCCAAAGCCACAGAGAAACCCTGTCTCGAAAAACCAAAAAAAAAAAAAAAAAAGCCGGGCGACGGTGGCGCACGCCTTTAATCCCAGCACTCGGGAGGCAGAGGCAGGTGGATCTCTGTGAGTTCGAGACCAGCCTGGTCTACAAGAGCTAGTTCCAGGACAGGCTCCAAAACCACAGAGAAACCCTGTCTCGAAAAACCAAAAAAAAGAAAGAAAGAAAGAAACCCTTTCCTCCCCAAGTTGCTTTTGGTCATGGTGTGTTATGACAGCAACAGAACTGAAGACAGTTCCGACAGCCTTGTTTGAACACTTGGTTCCTAGCTATTGGTGCCGGTGTGGAAGGTCCTGGGATCTTTAGAAGTGGTGCCTCTCTGGAGGAAGTGGGTCACTGGGGGAGGACCTTGAGCTTTATAGCCAGCTCCATTTGATGTCTGATTAACAATTCCTAATCTTTCAGATGTGAGCAAGCTGCCTCATTCTCCCATCACCATGCCTGTCACCATGTCTTCCCTGCTGCCATGAACTGTGTCCCCAAACACGGGAGCCAAAACACACCCCTCCTTCCATAAGTTACTTTGGTCAGGTATTTGAGCACAGTGAAGAGGAACTAATACAGGTGATGTGGTGGTTTGAGCGGCAACAGCCCGTATAGGCTCAGGTATTTGAATGCTTAAGTTTCTTGTTGATGGGACTTTTGGAAAGTATTTGGAGGTCTGGTCTTGGAGGTGTGTCACTAGTAGCAGCCTTTGAGGTTTCAAAAGCCCAGACCAGGCCCAGCCTCTCTCTCTGCTTCCAACTCTACTACTGCTCCAGCGCTGTCTGCCTGCTCCCACCACGATGACTTTGGATTCACCCTGAGACTATAGGCCACCAATTAAAAGTTTATTTTTGTAAGTTGCTTTGTTATAGTGTCTCTTCACAGCATAAAAGAATCCAAGACAGATGCATATCTTCTCTATTTCTTCATGTTACTTTGCTGCTTTCCATCTGGGTCCAAGTTTCCTCTTCAATAAAATAAGAAGTGTAGGCCAGGCAGTGATAGAAGACGGTTCTCTCCTTCCACCTCCACACGAGTTCTAAGGATAAAACTCAGGATGCAGCAGGCACCTCTACTCACTGAACCATCCTTTGGAGTGCTTTGTTCGAGACAGTTCTCTGTAGCTTTGGAATGTTCCTGGAACTTGCTCTGTAGACCATGCTGGCCTCGAATTCACAGAGATCCATTTGTCTCTGTCTCCTGAGCGCTGGGGGTTAAAGGCGTGCATCACTATCGCCCAGCTGGAGCATTTTTTAAAAATAAT